TTGATTTTCTGATGTACTGTTTGAATATGTTTTGTAATATTTTCTTGTTTTGATTCTGAACTCTCTCAATATGATTAGTTTTTCTGATCTTAATTGTTTTAGCACATCACCTACACTTTTTGATTGCTGACAAAAAGGGGGAGAACAAGAATGATATTTTAATCAATAACGGCTAACTAGACAGAAATTCTCAAACATTCTAACTCTATTTACTTGAAAATGTTTTTCTGTTTTGCTTAAAGTCTACAGGTACAAGGAAGCTCCTGGACACTCTGAAGACTAGAAGCTCTGAAGCTCTGATCACTATGAAGTTCTGATCCGCTCTGATATTCTGATCCAAAGCAAAGCTCTGACAAGAAAAACTCTGAAGCTCTGCTCTGACATAAAGCTTCTGATAAGTCAAAGGCTCTGATACTCTGATGTTCAAAGAAAGGCAAAAAGATCTGATCCTGAAGAACACGTGTAATCAAAGGGAAGTAATAAACTCAGGGGGAGTATCTCTCAACTCTGATATCTCTTTACTCCTTATCCTTTTACTTCTTATTCTGATACATATTCCAGATACCTTTTCACGTTATTTTCATTTAAAATATCTAGTTTTTGTCATCATCAAAAAGGGGGAGATTGTTAGAACAAAGTTTGAATCTACTACCCTATATTTAAGTTTTGATGATAACAAAGTGAAAAGATATAGTATTTATAAGTTTCATGTATGAACTATCTGCTGCCTAAAATTATTATGTTCTGACTTGTAGATACTCTGATTGATATAAGCAAGATCACATCTATTCAGCATCAGAACTTGATTTCAGACACCAGCATCAGAAGTTGCCATATCAGAATGTCAAAATCAGATGATCAACTCACGTACATGCTGAAGCCTGATGAACAAGACTGCGCTCAACACTCTGATAAAGAAACACAAACAGTTCATCAGCAGCGAAGCAGAGTCAGAATGAGCCAAGCCAGAACTTGCATTAAGTAAGCAACGGTACTGTGCATTAAAAGCAAATTAATTCCAACGGCCTCATTCCAGACAAGATCTGCTCAATAAGGAAAGCTTGTTATTAGCATTGAATCAAGAATATTGCATCCAATGTTCATCATCTCAGTGCTATATAAACAAGGCTTTGAAGATTGAAATGGCTAATGCTCTCAAAATCTCTACACGCACAAAAGCTAATTATAATCTTCTTTCTCTCAGTTTTGCTAAACCACACACTCTGATATTCTATCATTGTTTAGCAATCTAGTTTCTAAGCTTCAGTTTGTGTATACATCACAGTTGTGATAAAGTTTTGTAGAAAACATTCACACACTTAGTTTTATATCTTTGTAAGAAAGTATTACCTTGACAAACCGGGTTGTGGTTTGAATCAAGAAGGCTTTAGCAGTTGTTAAAGCAGTCTGTAATATTCAGTTGAATATAGTGGATTAAGACCTCGTTGGAGAGAGGCGAAATCACCTTGACGGGTGGACTGGAGTAGTTTGAGATCAAACGAACCAGGATAAAAATATCTTGTTCATTGCATTAGATTTCAGTTTTACAATTCAACCCCCCCTTCTTGTGTTTTTCACCACTTCATGACCCACACTCATCAGATTGCTTTTAATTCCAGGAACATACCAAACATCTTTGATCAGAATGTTTTTTCCATTCTTCACTCAGACTCTGACATTTCCCATACCTTCTGCATTAAGATACTTATCATCAGCACATCTGATCTTTGTTCTCCTTCTAGAATCAAAGTTTATCAGCCATTGTTTGTTCCCAGTCAAGTGGTTTGAACAACCAGTGCCCATATACCACCAATCTTCTGAACAGTTTCCATCAGAATCAGAAGTCATCTGTAGCACAGGTTCATCATCAGAATCTCCTCTGGCTATATTTGCTTCTTCTGATTTCCTTCCTCTGTTTCTACAATCTCTGGAAAAATGACCAAACTGTTTACAACAGTAACATTGAATCTTCTTCTTGTCATACATTTCCTTTCCCTTCTGATATTTCTTTTCATCAGAAGTTGATGTTTCTGACTTCTGGAATTTATCACCACATCTATTCTGCTTCTGATCCTTCTTGACAAAAGAAGCCTTCAGAGCTTGCTCCACTACCCTCTCAGAAGTTCTTTCAGTCAGACACAACTTATGCGCTTCTAGACTGCTTTGCAACTCTTCTATTGTCATGGTTTCCAGATTTTTAGAATGTTCAATAGAAACAACAATGTAATCAAACTGAGGAGTAAGTGACCTCAAAATCTTTTCTATGATTACCTGTTCAGAAAGTGTTTCTCCATAAGCTTTCATCTAATTAGTGATCAGAATCATTCTGGAGATGTACTCAAAAACTTTCTCACTGTTCTTCATGTTGAGATTCTCATATTGCTTTCGCATGGACTGAAGCTTTACCTTCTTTACTAACGCGTCACCACCATAACATCTGGCCAGTATATCCCATGCCTCCTTCGACGTCGTCGAATATGCAATCTTCTCAAACACACTGATGGATATAGAACAGAGCTTTCTGATCCCTCTTCCTCGTAGCTCTTTCTGCAGATTTTCGTTCTCCAGTAGCATCTGCTGCAATTGGAACATAACCTTCAGTAACAAGATCCAGAATATCCTAAGCACCAAACAGCACACACATTTGTATCTTCCATCTGTTCCAGCTTTTGCCATCAAAAACTGGAAGTTTAGTGTTCAAACTACTACCCCCACTCATCTTAAATCTTGCACAAAAACTCAGATCTCAGATTCTCACTCAGTGTTTCCCAAACCCACAGAATCAGTGTGATTCTATTGCAGATTTTTGTTCAAGATTCAACAAAAATCAGCAACCAAAAATCAAACACACAACTCACTATCACTCATGTTTCCCAGAATTTCAGAATAAACCAAGAGCTCTAGATACCAATTTGTTGGTGCAAGGTGATGAAATTGAGGAAAAAGAGAGAAAAAGGATAAATGCTATAAAGCTGCCACAAATGATTGGAAGAGAATTGATTGTATTAAATGTAAACCTAGTACACCTATTTATACACAAAAGTAGTAAAGATAAGAATGTCACATAAGGTCTAAAGAGAATATCCACAAATGACAAATACTAAATTTTTCTCTAATAAGATTGACAGGGAAAAAAAGGATGTGAATTCAATGGTTTTTTCGAAGTATGTTCTTATCAAGGTTTTGGTTGGTCCAGTTTAGGTGAATGATATTGAACTTTGATTAATGATTTTAGTTTTGTTTATTATGATTACAGTATCCTATAGATATGATGTAAAGGAGAAAGCTCAAGATTCTGACCTATCGATGACAATAAAAAGTTCAAAATTGCGATCATTGATTTTAGAAACTTTGATAAATGACTTGCAAAAAGGTCGCGTTGTGATCAGTTTATGCATGTGAAATTATTACTTTTTTTGGTCTAATGTTGATAATGATGATTGAAAAGTTTGGTATTTATTTTTACTAGCGTGATGGAAAGGACTGTGGTATTTTTTGGTGGCTGTAAGGGTGTTTATGGGATTGAACTAATTAAAATTTGGCACGTAAGCTTTGATCTAAAGCAATGAAAATACTTTGTTTTGGTGTAACTAATTAAAGTTTTACTTATTTGCTAATATTTGTAGATCTGTATTATAATGAGGTGGAACAAAAACTTCCATATCTGAAATGTTATCACGTAGATTTTCATGATGTTTTAATTTATCTTTTTCAAATAACTACATGATGTATTACAATGTGGTTGTTTAAACATCAAATTTTATATTTACATCGTTGGGTGCTTCTATCAATCAAATGGCACTTATTAAGTTCATATGAGAAATTCTTCTATGTAGTTTGTAGAGTGCTATTATTAATATCTAGGTCATGCTAATGTTTTGCTTCATAGTTGACTTCAGTTCATATTTTTTGTTGCAATTGAAATTTGACATCTCAATGACTGCTTCATTGTTCATATGTCAGATTTGTCATGTGTGCGATGAAAAGTGTAGGAAAAATGTGACAAGGACTATGCAGAATTCAAGAAGCGCAATTATGCTGAGTTTTCTATTGATTATCCTGACTTTAATGCAATTTAAAGCTATTTCTAGTACTATGCTTCTGCATAATTGTGTTGGAACAAAAAATATTCTTGATTGTCAATACTCCAACAAGTGATTGAATCCATTTTTGTAGTTCAAAGAATATTGTATCATTAGTGAAGTTTCAATTTAAAGTCAAACTTTTTTCTCAACTTAAATGTATTCTGTTAATGACTTGATAGCAATGTGAAAAATATGACGCACATGATTAAAAGTTGAAAAATAAGATAGATTTAGTGGGAATTAGGTACATTAATGTGTATTTTATGGCTCATTATACAATTTTGTTTTGTATTTTTTTAACAATAGATAATTTATCCCATACCACGTACGGATATACATACTAGTAAAAATAGAATGATCAAAATTATAATTAAATTAAATTAATAATCATTCAATTTTTAAAAGCTAGTTTAATAAATTGTCACTCATTAAAAAATTTTAAGTATAATAAAATTATATTTAAAAATTTTAAAAAATTGAATGCACGAATTTCAAAAAAATATTATAATAAATAATTTTTTAATATGTGTTCAAAGGACACGTGTTAGCATTTTCCTATAAAAATGTGGTATAAAAATGAGATGAAAACCGTCCAAAAGACAGTTGATTCCCATTAATGTTTATCCCACTAATCAAGCAATTTATTTAAACCTAAGCACCAACTCCCCATGTGCCATAGCCATTCCCAAGATCAAGAGAGAAGACAAATGCCCATATCTCCTTCCATTGGTTATGTTTGTTCCCACAACTCTCACCTTTTTGTAACACTAGGTCGGCTTCTATTATATTCATGTCTTCCACTTTCTCATTTATTATGTTTCCAAGTATTATATAAGCCCCTAACCACATAAACTTCTCTTACTAGTTCATCCACGTTCAATTCTTCTAAAAAGAAATAAAGGGTAAGAAAAAAAAATGATGATGAAGTTTAAGTCAAAGAGGTTTTGTAGAAGCATATCAAAGCTTGGAAATATTGGAAACAAAGTAGTAGCAACATCTCCAATCGAAATTGAAAAGGAGCATAGTGAAATCAAATGGGAACTTAGGCCTGGTGGCATGCTTGTACAAAATAGAGAGAGCAATAAAAGTGATGAGGAGTTGATTACAATTAGAGTTTCCACAATGTCAAAGTGGCATGATATTTCCATTGAAGCCACTTCAACTTTTGGTAAGTCTAATGAAACCCTACCCTACCACACTTTTCATTTGCAATGACTTTTGTTTTGGTTACAATTAACTTTGAAGTAGTTTATCAAGTAGTATTCATGAACCAAAAAATGTATTAGTTTTGTGCAATATCATAGAATTCTAAACATAACCCTAAAGTGTGTGTATGGTTAAATTTTGTGAATAAATTTTAGGAGATTTGAAGATGGCTTTGACATTGGTAACAAGTTTGGAGCCAAAAGAACAAAGGCTTATCTACAAAGGTAAAGAGAGAGATGACAATGAATTTCTTCACATGATTGGTGTTAGGGACAAAGATAAAGTTCTTCTTCTTGAAGATCCGGCTATTAAGGAAATGAAACTATTTGGTTTGGCAAGAGGAGAATCTATTCACAATCCTAGTTGTACAATAAGTGTGTAATATAAATCATCTGATTTTGATTGAACCGTCGTTTATGTCTCGAATGTGAGAATGCTTGATCTTTGGATTGTGGTGAATTTAAATTCATGATACACTAGAAGTTAGTTTCTAAAACCCATGATTAAATTAGTACTAACAAGAAAAGAAAAAGTGAAGTTAAGTTAAATGTAATGTAATGTTGATCTTTCTTCACTTTTTTGATAATTTCACTTAGTATAGAGGAACATAATCACATATTCATCTTGTTGTTGGACTTTTGTTTGGTTTGAAAATATATAATTTGATGTAACGCCATGTTATGTTTCCTAATTGTCTTGTTCATTCCTTTTGTATTGTACTAGTTTTATATTGTTTTGTTTTTCAATTTATGGTAGAAGCTTTGTCAATTTTGGGGCTAAAAACGGACAAATTTGTTTTCTAGTGCAATGTAAAAGCTCATTTTATAAATATTCATTTCAAAAGTTAATTTTTCTAGCCTGACTTTCTTATTAAAAAAAATCAGGCTTCAGTTAAATTGAGAATGTATGCTCTACAAATGCAAAGTAAAAAGAGTCATAAGAGTGGAAAGCGAACAGAAGGAACTCAACTAAGGAGGATCGTCTATCTCATAAAAGGCAATGCATACAGGAGTGGAAAGCAGACTGAAGGAACTCAATTAAGGAGGATCACTTATGTTATATAAGGCGGTGGTCATAGGAGATACATCTTTAGGGAAAGAAGAATCAACAAATCAAGGATCATATATGGAGATCATAGATGCTTTTGGGGGTTGAAGATTGATGAACATAAATTTAGAGACGAATGCCCAGAGAAGGATGAGTGGAGAATTTATATGCCTTGGAAGAAAGGAGAGTCATTGTGAAGATGGTGGGGAGATGAATAGGCTTCAAAGCCCTAGAAATTTGCCTGAACTAAATGTGGGCAATAAATGAAGTACTGAGTATCGTGGACCTATGGCAGGATCATTATCCCGTGACATTCACCAATGAGAAGGAGCAATATGGGACTTTGAATTTGATGGATGGTCCTTGGCTCATATATGATCACTACTTATTAGCGAGGGAATGGAAACCTAACTTTTGTCTGACTAGTGATGTCATAGAACAAGTTGCGGTTTGGGTTCATGTTTTAGGATTACCAATTGAGCATTATGATGATAGAGTCATCACTTTCTTTGGAAATCGTATTTGGTGTTACTGTCAAAGTGTATAGAAATAAGTTGAGCAGGGAAAGAGGAAAATATGCAAGACTTTGTGTGCAAGTTGATCAAACAAAACGTTTATTAGCGTTGTTTAAATCAAGAGAATGCATTACAAGATCGAATATGAAAGGTTGCATCTTCTCTATTTAAGTTGTGGACTCCGATTTGTACACTATAAATAAGGTTGCCTTAATCAAATAGGTGTTAAGGTTACTAGTGTTGCAGAAGAAGCAAAGACATCACTTGATGATGGAAGTGAACACGTGGTTCAGGTTCGGGAGTCGATTATGCGATGGAAAGGTATTAGCACCCATCACATCCGTTGTACTCAACGAGAACCTTCTAACTAGTTTTTGGGTAAAAGGGTGTTTATAATTTGTTTGCAATTGTCTGTTTTTAAGGGATATTTACAAAAGAGGGAAAAGTTAGTTTTTTTATTAATGTGCTCGACAAGATTTCAAAATCATACTCCTATGTATTCCCAGGTGCAATGGGAAAATTAGAGCCTCGTAGTTTGTGGTAGAAAATATTTATTTGTTGGTTTCTTTTAGATGCGGAAGAATTTATTTGATTTTTGAATGCACAAGGGTAAAAACTATTAATTTGATGAGTTATGATTGATTTTAGATGCAAAAGAGAATAATCGACACGGGCAAAGCGTATGCTAAACATTCGATCACTCAAACGAATGAATGTACATTCATCCATTTTTAATCCTAATTTATTACGAAAATTTATTATGGGAGAGAAATGATCGTTTAGACAAAGCGTACTATTATACCCCAAAATTTTCCCTCCTATTTTCAAGACAAATTGATTCAAGATACCTCCTCATGCTCCTAGGGTTTTCAATTGCTCAAGATTACTCAAAGATTGATCAGACAAACCCTCCTCCTAAGCATTATCCTACAACTAGAGTTTTATTTTTCTCAAGGAAAATTGGACTTATAATGCCTCAAGTGGATTTCATGGTTTCTCATATGTATCAAGGTACCCTCATGCCAAATTTCAACCCTTGCAGCACAAGTTTGCTCACTCAATTAGACAGATGATTGAAAATCAACTATATTGGACAAAAAGTCAACTTTGACCAATTTACAGTCAAACTTCAAGATTTTTGGTCAAAATCAAGATTTTGAAGTCATATTCATCATTTTATTAAGAGTTGATCATGATTCATCAAGAAAACTCAAGATTCATCAAAAGTAAAAAATTACTAAATTAGGATTTTCTTAAGGAGAAGTCAACTGAACTTTGACCAGACATAACTTTCACATACTTCATCAAAAATTCCTCAACCTAAGCCTATCTTGAAGTAAATTTAGTTCTCTATAACTTTGTCTCTCTAAGCTCAAGGCTAGAAATTCTTCATTTGAGATATATGTGCCAAAATATTACAGGTCATTTTAAAAGTCAACAAAAAAAACTTTTTGTCAAAGTACCCCACTTCAAGATAAAAACTTCAAATGAAAAAATGACCAACATGAAAGTTGTAGGAGACATCTTGAGCTTTTCAAAAAGTCCAAGATTACCTTCATATGAAAACATTCGAGTGAGTTATGATTGGTGCAAGTTAGACAATTTTGAGAAAATGCATGAAATCCAAATTGAGCAAATTTGAATTTTTGGGCTAATGGACCTATCTTTTAAAGTCCAAACGTGTTCCTGACATCATAATTGACATCTAAGTCCATTCATGCATCATTTTAATTTTTATTTCATTTATTTTTATTTTTATTCATTTAAATTCAAAATTAAATCAAATAAATATTAAATAAATGTATAAGACATAAAAGGCTTGTGATCTGAATCTTTTGAAGGCCCAAGGTCATGCTACAAACCATGTAGACATATTTGTGAATCAAATCTTCATGGTTTTGTAATATTTCACCTTATTTTCAAACAAAATCAAAGATATGTTTCACATGATGTCCAAGCCCACCACTTGACCTAATCTTTTCTCCTATAAGTATACTACGTGTTTAGACCAAAGAGAACACACATACTCCCTCCAAGAATAAACCCTAGAATTCTCAAAAATTCAAAACAAGGGCAAGAATGAAACCTTGTCTGCAGCTATCCTCAATCAAGTTCAAGCATTCCATCATCATCCTGATACCCCTAGGAAGCTTTGAAAGTCCTTAAGTAATCAAAATCGTGCCCAAAACACCACGTCTCATCTTCACCGGTTTTGGTAACTTTTTCAAATTTAAACCTTTAATTTACACATTGTTAACTAATTTGATGCATCCACATGTGTCAATTTACATCATTAGAACAAGTTTGCTACATAATATGTGAGCTTTAACGCAGGAATAAGGAGATACCATTATTAGGGCATAATCTGAGTTTTGTTTCGAAACTCACGATACAATCAGTTTCAGGCTAAAACAACATCACCATTGGATTCAGGAGGTCCAAATTAGGGGGATAAGGTCCCTCTTAATCTCTAACTCATGTTATTTTTACATGTTTGAAAACGACCTCGCTCGAGAAGACAACCAGAGCTAGGGTTCCAGCGCTTCTCCGGTTCACTTGTTTAATATATTTTTTGGTTTGTATTCTATGATAGAATTGAAGTGCAGTGCAATTGGTTAAGACAAAGGCATGTAATACGAATGGCGTGGGTTCGATCCCTGCGTCTTGCAATATTATTTTTGCTATTTTTCAAACTAATGTGTAGGTTTCATATATATTATTCAATTCTTATTTCTCAAACACCAATAGGCGCTTGGCCTAATGGCATGCAGTGCAGCTTGTGGAGCCAGGGGCGTGAGTTTAACACCCATCCCATACAATTTTTTTACTCTACTTTTTTTCCTAACCTAATTTTTTTTATTTTTCTTTTCTAACCCTAATTATTTTTAATTAATCAATCATTAATTAACATAATATTTTTTTAATACTAATAAATTAGGATTAGGGTTTTTAAACTAGTATTTAATTTTCTTGATATTTTTCCATTAATTAATTAATTAATTAACTAAACCATTTTTCTTAAATATTAAAATCAATTATAAATTTAGGTTTTTATTAAATATTATCACTTAAATTATTTTTTATAAAATATAAAAAATATTAATACTTAGAACTTTAGGTCTTTTACACATTTTTTAAAACATTTTCTTATTTCTTTACTATTTAGTTTTCTTAGACAAATTGTATAGGTCGCATTATCAAATGTAATACCGTATATTTATTTTCTGCATCTTTTTCTTATTATGTATCTTCTCCGAGGATGTAATAGCGTAGAACATTTATATTCTCGCACTTATATTTTTATGCTATGATTAGTAACTAGGGTTTGTATGACATGATTAAAAATAAACGTAGAAAACCCTAAATTCTTAAGATAAAATAACTGAATCAATACACTTTGCACACTTGCACCTCTAGGATATCCTCTCTTGTTGCCTTACGATATTGGTCACATCCCTCGAAAGTAGAGATACTTTAGCAAAATACCCTCGAACAAATCATCATGTCCCTTTCGAATAAAGATCATAATCCCTCGATGACCCTTCGAGTTGTTTACAAAATAATCTAGTCCCTTCAATGACCCTACGAGCAAATGATGATAGTCCCTTTGATACAATTGCTAAAGTATTCTTACATGTTGCCTTCGATGACCATTTGATGACCCTACACTTGTCCCTTCACATCCAATGGATATGGCTACCTACCAACTAATGGTATAGATAGTACTATCTCCAAAAGAGAAGGAAAAAAAATAAGGAAGACCATACTTTAGTGGGTAATAACTTTTAATTGCTTGCTCACAAATTTTTCTCAAAACATT